GGTCTTGTAAAAGATGCTGCTGAGTGTTCTGCAGGGAAGGACAGAGTGCTTGAGGACCTTGTGGCAACATTCCCATGCTTTTGGGTCTGTGCTGCAGCATGATCCATGCTATCCAGCCACCCACTGCATCTGGAACTGTGTGGCTTTACTAGTGCAAATCCACATGTTTGCTGGGTGGTAAAGTTTCCTGTTTCCTCCCATGTTTGCAATTATCCTAATTCATTCTGTGCTTGTAATTGCAATGCAAGAGGTTGTTTGATGCTTACAAAACAATGTGCAGTGTGGCAGCTCCCAACCTCTCCAGGTTTCTACCAGAAAATGTTTAAGAAGGAAAAAGAAGTTTAACTCAAAAATTTACTCCAGTTTCCAGTTTTAAAATAGTTTGAAGGCTGCTCTCTGTTATTTAAGATCAGGTAATATATTGTTGCATTTATATTTACTAGGAATGGTAGAGAGATTCATTCTGTGAAATTATAGCATTACCATGAAATAAAGGACTGTGATGTTGTAGCTTTCAAAACTGGTAATTGCATCACTCAGGGGCAAATAAAGCCTGGTCTCCTCCAGACTTGTGCATTATCTCTGGATTCTCTGGAACTCCACAATTCAGGACTTCTTTCACTCTCTTGCTTCCTGTTTAAGTGACCAATACATTTACAAGTTATTGGGCATGAGGCCAGAACACACAGACAAACACTGTGATTACATAAACCTCATTTTCTTAGAAGCCTCTGATAATTAAAGAGAGACTGAAAAATAAAAATGACCTAATCTAATAACCAAAGAAGAATGGTCACTGGTTACTGATTTATTTTTCTTTGCAGCATAACTTGAAAAAAGTAGCAGCATATCTGTCTCCATCAAAGAGACTTGTTCCAGCTCACTCAGCCTTTGATTTGTTTATTCTTCAGACACCAATCTAAGTGAATTGCTTTTCCCACATCCATGCTTAGCCCATCCTCAACATCTTTGGACTCCACAAATGTGTCAGTCTGTTTCATAGTGAGGTTTGAAATAAAGCAGCCCAGGTGAAGAGGGTCAGATCTGATTAGGCTGCATCAAGAAGGGCTCTTATCATCTCTGACCATGGAGGGTGTGTGAAAGTTTAGGGCCCTTCAGTTTAGGGCACTATTGGGTTATCCTTTAGCAAACTCTCATGCTGGCTGTGCAGATCCCACACATTTTCTGTCAGCCCTGCCAGCTTGGTCTGTCCTGCGCTCCCCGTGACAGTGACAATCAGTGCTGCCTTTGGAGTGATATGTTTTGAGGATTTGGGAAAAGACCAGTCAGTTTCCATTTGCTGTGACTGTACATCTTCAGCCAGCCTAGGGTCTGTGTGATAATGCTCCTAATTCAGGTTATTTTGTATTTGCTTTATGAGTGAGATTTCATGTGACAAGGTGTCAAACTGATTTACTGATTTCCAAAGGGAAAACGCCTTCTGCTCTTCATCCATTAATTCTCTAATGTAATCGATAAAAGCAATCAGTTGTGGATTTTTTTTTTTTCACAGAAGCTAACACGGGATTAATCATCATTGACAAGATTAGGTCAGATTCAAATTTTGCTCTGCCTGACATCAGTCGTGAGAGGAGATGTTTTTATAAGCAAATTGTGTCCCTGGTAGAGGAGCTGAGCTTCAGGAGCGATGAGTGTTGTGGAAAAGACTCTGTAGGAAGTGACCAAACAATTCTTCACCCAAAAATGGTTTAAAAAACTCTTTTATCTCATGTGGAGCTGTAGTTTCCAATTGCAGTCACCAAGTCTGTGTGGGCACCTCTGGAGAGAGTGAGGGCAAGGACACCGGCAAGGGGCTTTGAACAGATCACTGTGTGGTTTACAATTCAGTCTGAAATTTGAAGAAATCTGTGAGGAGAAGATTTCTTTTGAAGTAGCACATGCTATACATGCAGGTTGATGCCATGTCAGTGCAATTAAGAATAGCCCATGGGTTTGCAGCCCAGAAAACATTTTGATGTCCCTGTGCCCTACCACTGCAGAAAGGCAGGACTGAATGCTGTAAAACCTTTGAGATGCCACACAAACTCTCACTGCTCTGGAGTGTGTCCTCTAACTAAATGGCCCGTTCCTGCTGCATTTTTCATGTTTCAATGGTAAAAATGCTTTTGCAACAGTAATGGGAAAGCTGCATCAGCATTTCCCTTGGTCTTGGGTCCATTATGTCATGTTAGCCACTGTGTCGTACTATTCTCTGCTGCTCATGCAGTTCTAATCCTGGTTAATTCTCTGGCAGCACTTGATTTTGCTGACCAAAAAATATTTGTTTGCAGCCTTGAGCTACCTTCACTTCTTCCACAGTGTCCATCATATCTTCCCCTGCCCCCCTCAGCTCCACCTGTATTTATTTACCTTCTATTACAAGAAATCTGTGCACCCTCAGCTTTGCCTGTGGCTCTGCTCTGGGTGGGTGGAGAGATTAATTTTGTGAGCATGTTGTAATTTTCACCTCATAAAGAAGGATAATTTTTTTGCCTCTTTTTTTAGTCATCTGTTCTTTCTCTGGTTTTGATCCTGAAATCTCCATGGGGGAAAAAAACTCTCAAACCAAATAAAAACTGCCAACACAGTTACTAGTGGCAGAGAAAGTGCCTAAAAATCTCAGATATTGGGTATTAATGGTTAACTGTCTGTGTTTACACATACATTGTGCACATACATGATTTTGCATCAGCTTACTAGTGAGACAAATACAATTTATGTAGTTGCTCAAGTTTAAATGTATTTCAGGGGAGTACCTGTAATTTATGAGAGTATATTTTGTACACTTTTTACACCATTTTAAAATGAGCTTGTTAGTAATTATAATAAACCTTGGGGTGATCAGGTTTATTTTTTTTAGAATGACTGTTATTGATTATCTGATTTTTTTAATAAAATAAATATAAAATGAGTTAAATTTCCTTAATTAGCTGACGGAGATTAGGAGAGTACTCTACAGTTGTCTCATGGAGATACACTGCTTTCCTGTTAAAATTTTTAAATCATGGGTATGGATTAAAGTTGAGGGAAACAGAGAAGTCTGACCTGAACTGACACTGGTACTGCCTTGAAGTTCCTGCCTGAAATAGGAATAAAGATACAGCTTTGTCAACCAGAGGTTTTGCCTCAAATGCTGTAGAAAAAACCAACAGACAATAAGATTTTAGTGTTCTGTTGTGGAAGGAAGTCCTGGTGGTGAAACACCAAGGATTATTTTAAATTTGTTGGTTTTTTTTTTTCCTGTGTCGTGTATATACTAATTTGCACAGGGAAGGCATTCCTCAAAATGAGCATTTTCAGTACTTAAACTACAGGTTCTGTGTACGTGTAGATAATTGAAATACTCATGTTTTATTGGGTGAGATAATTTGAGCAATATATGGTATGAAAAGTGAATCTCTGAACAGTTGTTCTTGGTGCAAACCATAGGCAGCAAGAGTTAAATGAGTCATCTACATCTTTTATTGCTAATATCAACACTTCAGCAATGCTAATCAGCTGTACTGATTTTCTGTTTTGATTTTCCTTAATAATTAAGCAAAAGATCTGGAATGCAATCAAGTTTTACTCTAGGGGGTTCATGCAAATTTTTTTTTTTTATTTTAAATTTTGTTAAATGTATCCTGCAAAAGGAAAGTTGCTGAAGTCAAGAATAAAAGAAAGAAAAAAGGGAAAATACCATTTACAGTCTGCTTAATCAGAGTGAATATTTTCAATGAAATCACAACTTCACTGCAATTATTAGGTGAAAATACAGCTGCTGTTGAAATAACTGCACATTGACTGCTTGCTGCACGCAGAGAAATAGTTACAGACCATGAAATACCTTTCAGCAGCCTGATTTTTAAAGAACAATTCAGCAAAATAGGATCATCTCTGTATCCTCCAGTACCTTAAATATGATAATTTCATGTTGTGAGCTTTTTTTATATTGACTTCTGAAGTAAGAGTAAGTTAAGTAAGACTGTTTTGTCTCTTTTTTTTCCCCATGGTCTTGTGGTCCTCTTTCTCATATAACAAAGTGATTTACTTATAACTTGCTTTATTCTGTTCCATAATATTTAAAGTAAGAAATTGCTATTTCTGCATTAATTTACACTGTTAAAAATATTTTTATTAAATCAAACGTACTTATTAGAAATTATTTTCTAATTATTTTCATTTATTACATTGAATTGTTTTCATTTACTACAGATTAGACCCAAGAATCTAATTTTTTGTTACATCTGTTAGAATCAGTGTGTAAGTGAGGAAATAAGGTCAAATGTTCACTGAAACAGAAATGTAGCTTAAGTCATTACAAATAAATTACATGTTAATAGCATTCATTCTGGCATTTGTGGATTAATGGCCAGTTGGATTAAGAGTGTTTCCAGCATGCAAATTAAAATAATTTACTTAGTAAAAGTGTTAGGATAATCTTTTCAGACCTTCCTGTTACTACAACAGCTTCCTTTGATGAATGTTTATTCTGTTTGGAAACCGTACAGCCGGCTGAGGAGGGGGAATTAAATTTTGGGGAATTCTAGTTTAAGGAGCAGTGGCAGAGCAGGGTGAGGCTGTGCTGGCCGCGGCGAGGCACAAACCCTTCCTGTAAATGGGGGACGTGCAGGGCTCCTGGTGCTGTGTCACAGCTGAGCCTCTCCACTCTTGTGGTCTTGAGCAAGTGCCAGCCTTTATTCCAGACCTCAGCTCTGGCTCTGGGAGTGGGCAGGGCCTGGCTGAGCGCTCCCAGCCTGGGTGGCTGCAGCTGCAGGGGACAGCAGCACCTCTGAGGGGCAGCTTGCCACCAGCTGACCTCGTGGGGAACGGCTCCGTTGGGGCTCTCCTTCCAAAGTGGGCACGGTGTTGCTGCTGCTGGGAAAGCAGCGTGTGTTCCTCGAGGCGCCCCTTCCTTTAGATTAATCATAGGTGGATCAACATTGTTGTCTTCTTTAAATTCTGTATGGTATTGCTAATGTACTATTTCTTTTTCTCCTCGCAGTCACCTCTTTGGAAAGATGGTCCTTCATTTCAACTCCCTTTTTGGCCTCCCTGTCATACTCCTCCTGTACCACTGGATGGGTTCGGCTGTGTCTTTGAATCTGGAAGATCCCAATGTGTGTAGCCACTGGGAAAGGTAATGCTTTCCTTTTGGAAAAATAAGTGATGTAAATTCTGATGTAATAATTTTGCTTTGCTTTGTTTGGCATGCTTCAAATTATTGAAGGCTTTTAGCTGAGTTTAAAAACAAGGGAAAAGAATTCATTTTACTGCATGGGCAGGTGAGTTCATGGGTAAGTAAAAGACTGTTTAACAGTGGGCTGAAATGCATCTTTGCCTTGGGGGTCAGGATGCAAAGAACCACTACAGTGGTACTAGCAATGTTACACAACCATCTAGGTACTAGAAGTGAGTAAAAATAGCTCTTTCCAATTTAGGTGAAAAGAAGTTTTACATATGCAAAATATAATTAACCATATTGGAATTTGGCCAAATTTGATTATGCTGATTCCTTCCTATTCAGCACTCACAGGATCTGAATTAAGATTTGTTGTTTAATTATTTTGATGAGGTTCAAAAATTTATAACATGCAAAATGAAATTCATCATCAATGTAGTTGGCCTTGCTTGTTCATCCAATTTCATGTGAATTGCAAAAAGCCACAATGAGTTGGGAGAGGCTGAGCCTCAAGCATCTGCTGAACTTCTTTCCTCGTGTAAAGGTTATGATAGTGGAAACAAGAACTTCTGGTGTCATTATAACTGTTGTGCCTGTAATTAATCAGCTGGTCCATGAGAAAGTCTTAATTTTCACAGTTCACTTGAGGACATCAGTATTTCCTGCACTTAATGTGAACTGTGTTGTGTATTTACTCATGGGGAGTGCTGCTGAGCCACTGTACATTTATTTTTGATTGTTATAGCTGAATCTTTACAAAGAGAATTGAAACTTGTATTTACTTTTTAATAAAGTCTCTCTATTAAAAAAACCCAAACCCAGCACATAAGAACATTCCTTGGGAATTTACCTCAGCTTCATGTAAAGGATTTGGCACCTCTGCCTCAGCTGCTGCGTGCAGTTCATGCAACTGTGTGTGTATGAAGTAGTCACCATATTAAATACCTGTTTGCAGTAGTCAGGAATTTGTCTGCAGTGTTACTGGGTACTGTCCTGTATTGTGTGTGCTTTGTTTACAGTTTTTGTAGATAGAAGTGGTTTTGGGGGAAGCTACAACATAGCGAAAGCAAAATGGGAAAAAAAAACCCCAAATATAACTACTTACACTACATAATATAATTCAAAACAAGCCAATCAAAGTCTGCAGAGGGAAAAATATACCCAAAAATGTATCCAGCGAGCATGCCCACTTTGTTGCATGAACTTCTTTTCCTTCTTGTGCTCACAACCAGAGCAGAGCTCCAAATAAACTCAGTGAAACATTCACGCTGCTGCCCAAAGCAGGTGACAAAGGGACAGAAGTATGAAAGGGCAAAGCCCCAGACAGAAGCTCTTGACTGCCCCTGTCACTGATGTATGCTTTAAATAAAAAACAGACCTCAGTCACTGCTAAAATGGTGAGAAGGGGTGGGTAGAGAGTGCCCTGCCTCAGGGTAAGAGCGCGGAGCCTCAGGCAAGCGCCAGCATCCCACTGATATTTTGTTGGGCTGGGACAGCTGGGTGGATTAGGGCTGCTAATTCCTGCTTTCCCTTCTTGCAGGAAAACAGGGAGCAGGGTGTGTGCATTTAGGGGTGAGCGGCTCTGGATGTGCTTCCCCTTAGGCGTAGATGGTGACAGCAGGATGAGGAGACCGTGGCTGTCACCCTGCACCGAGGGCTCAGAGCTCAGAGAGGGTGTGAGGGGAGGAGAGGGAGAGCTGGGTGAGCTGTTCAGTGTTTTGGCTGGTCCTGGGAATCAGCCCTGCTGCAGGAGCTTGCCACGCATTCCTGTATTTTCAAGCTCCCTTGCGCAACCCAGGACTGGCTGCCAGCACAAACAGCCTCTCAAAGAGTTTTCTAGGATGATTCAATATTTTCCCCTTTTGAGACAGGGCTCTGCTCCTCTTGTCCTACTGGCAGCTTTGGAAGCTCTCAGCATGGATTTGTTTCTAGGACACTGTATAATTGTGTAACTTGGCAAAAAATAATAGTAGGATTTCGTGTAGTATTTCTGGGGGTGTGGTGTGGGTGGTTCTCTGTTAAAAATTATCCAGTAAGCAGAAGTAGTTATGGTCTTCAGTATTCATTAATTTCTGATTGCTGAGTAGACTGTTTGGTGGTATGCCTGTAATGTAATTTTTCAGTAATTACTACTCAGGTATATTTCTGTGTTAACATTCACTTAGTATATAAGTGCACTGGATGTATTCCTATAGGCCCATTTTTTTTTTCTTGTAAAAACTTGATCCCTATAGGATCAAGTTTTTTTACAAGAAATTTCTCAAAAAGTCCTTTTTTTTTCTATTTTGAATGATAATAGAAGAAACCTCATTTTCTGTCTCCTTAACTAGTTGTTCAATTATCCAGTTGATTAATAAAATTTTCTATAGGAGAACGCCTAATATGCACTACTTCCATTTGCTGCCTATTTGAGTTACAGCTGTTCTCATCTTAGGAAAAGTTAGGCTGACATTACATTTCTTTAAATGTCGAGTAGTGGAATTTCATCAAATGTGCTACACAGTATAAACATGATGACTCTCTGCATGCTTATTTTTCTTTGCAAGCTTTCTGTGTCATTTTTTTTGACATGAGTATTTTGTTATATTTTTTCCATTCTGTAACAGGATTCTGTAAAAGACCTAATTAAATGAGACTGTACTAAAAGGGCTTGCTTGATGATCTCCCGTTTTTCTTTCTGTCTCTCCCCAGTTACTCAGTTACAGTGCAAGAGTCATATCCACATCCTTTTGATCAGATTTACTACACCAGTTGTACTGACATCCTAAACTGGTTCAAGTGCACACGACACAGGTGATGTATAAATCCTAATATTGTCAATTTGCTGACATGTTTAAGATTCTTGACTCAAAATCAAGCATCATATGTAGGATTTTTTAGCTGTAGTGTCCAACCCTGTCTAACTGCTGTGATCTGTGTCAGGTGGAAAATGCCTGTCCAAGCAATGTCACATAAATTTTATTAGCAGGTTGGGGTGTTCTGTCCCATGGAGTGCTAACAGAAAGCAAACAGCTTGGGAAAAACTAAATTCTCCAGACCCTGCAAGGTGTATTTGTTCAGAAATATCACAGGGAACCCTTGTTGCTTGCAGTGTTGTGTTCTGGGGGAAGTGAGTGTATGCTGCTTGAAAGAAAAGTAAAAGGATTTGTTGAAGGAAACTTCCTGTGCAAGCAGAAAGCAGCAAGCAAGGATTGAATGAATAAAAACTGGTGACATCTGTAAAGAGCATTTTCCTCAGAGGAATATGCCCATGGGTATGAACCATGACAAGTGAAAAAGTCCCCATTTTTTCCTGTTTCCTGGCACCCATGAACCTAAGGCATGTCAGGGAAACCCTTGGACTCTTAAAATTAGCAACAGATAAATCAAGACAACTTGGAGCACTTCTTTTCCTTTCTTATGACACCTGAATGCTTTTTAAAATGTCTAAGAACACAACCTGTCTTGTTTCTGAACCAAGGCATGTGACCCAACTCTCCTTCCTCTCTTTAGGATCAGTTACCGCACCGCCTACAGACACGGTGAGAAAACGATGTACAGGCGCAAATCCCAGTGCTGCCCTGGATTCTATGAGAGCAGGGAAGCGTGTGTCCGTAAGTTCAGCTTCTCGTTGTCACTTTCTTTGGCTTTGAAACTCCATCGCTGTGCTGGTGGGACTGCCCAGAGCTGCTCCCAGAGTTGCAGGAGCTCAGTTACTCGCCAGTGATGCGTTCGCAGCTCTCGTTGGAGCCAGCTGGGGCTGAGCAAATGCAGGTGAAAGGAATGGTTGGATTTCAGGTGTCTTAGGTGGCCAGCCAGCTTTCATGTGGTTCCAGCTAATGATCGTGTGGAAAGTGCACTGTGCAAGCATCAGTGTTTTGAACACAAGGTTTAAAACCACGAGGGACGTGGAAGACTTTTCTCCTTGGAGCAGACCCCAGCAGATCCTCATGCTGAACCTCTCTTGGGCATACAGGGGTTTGTAACAGCTCTTGGGAGGTCTCAGCACCTTTTCTGGGTGGCACATTCCTCTGTCTCCTCATCTAACCCAAATCTGGGAAAATTTGTGTCCGGGGAGTCTGGAGGCAACCTTGGCTCAGTTCTTTCTCTCTCTCATTTGTCCTTGTGCAGACCTAGGGAGGTCTTAAAATGGTGTTTGATAAGAACATTTTTTATGTCCTGGAATTTGAAAAACAAAAAAGCTTTGATCCAAAACATTTTCTGCTTGTGCAAAAGCAAGGTCAAAATATTTTTTAGAAAACTAATATATCTGATAGCAGATTGGCAATGATTTTAACTTTTTTTTTGTAATATTTTGTACACATTAGACTTTCAAGAACCAATTTCTGACTACATTTGGTTATTATACAGCATGTGTGAATGATGATATTTAATTTTTTTAGTAGGTAGTATTAGGTAGAATATTTTTTGAAGTGTGTTACAGTTTGACTCGTGATGTGATGACAGGTGTGATGGTGATTCTCTTATGTGACAGCAGCTTTTACACAGCTATAGCACATGTAGTAAATTCATTGTGTTAACACAATGATATTCAGAACCTGAAAAGTTAAATAAGTTAAAATACCATTGGATATGCTAATTTTTTTCTGTTACTACATGAAAATATGCCTAATAATGATACTCAGGACATATCTGCTCTGACTTCTGAAGTGATTGTGGAATGCCTTAGACTTTAAATTATGTGAAAATTCAGGTCCTTCAGTGTAGCTGAGTTTGCATTTATTTGACCTTGGAAGAAAGAGACCTTCAGAATCTCCAGCTGGAGCATTTCCATTACTGCAATTTTATTTCCATGCTGGGTGGATTATTTTTTTACCTAGTGGAAGGATGTAAGATGCCTCTAAAAGGCTAAAATCCTTGTGTTGCTGTTGATATTTTGTTGTTTGTCTGTTCCTTTATTTGACTTCTCAATTTAGAAAAGTAAATTAGAAAAGTCTACTGTTAGATGGTTTTGGTGTGACTCAACATTGCGTGAATTGAAATTTCATTGCTGCTTCTCGAAAATAATAGGAATCTGTGCCATTTTGTCTTTAGGTGGGTTGACAAGAAAGTGTATTTTAATTTTCATTTTAATTCCAGCATTTTATGGGTCGGTGCTTGGACTGTTTGTAGGAGTGTAGATATCTTGTTAGTGAGTACTAATTCACTAAAAAAATGTGCTTTGTGCTGTCCTCATGAAACTCCTGTTCATAGAGGGTATAAATAATGCACAAATTTCTCACCTCTGTCTCCACTATTGCCAGCACCTCTGTAGAGCCGTAGGTTAACTGGACCTCAAGCTGTTGTTTTTACTCTTATGTTTAGACCTGATGCACTTTCTGAGATAATCTAAATGCAGTTTATAGGCACATACAAAGGCAGAACAGTAATTCTGTGAAGTTCTGTTAAGGAGCTGACTCCTGGCAGCTCCACCCCAGGCTGAGTGATTGACTAAATTTCTTATTTATTCCGAAGGATTTCCTGCCACTTGTCTGCTACTATGAGTGGCAATCCCTAGGAGATTTGGCATATGAATGCTAGGATCAGCTACAGACAAGAAACTTTTTCAAAAAGTGCAAATTTTTTTTTTAGCATGTTTCTGAAAAGGAAGATTTCAAAGGTTTTAAGACATTTTCTAGTGGCTTTCTTGAGGATGGACACACAAGCAAAGGTTGGTTGTTCCTGACAGCTTGAACATTTACCTCACTTAGTTTCTAACATTGTAGTATATTTCTAAGAACCTTAGTGGCGAACTATGCCTGTTGAATTTCCTCAAAACATGAAATAGAAAATGCACCATCCATCTTAAGGTATAACTGGATATCACTCACTTTACTAGCAAATAGCCATCAAACACAGGAAACAAAGATCAAACAAGGGGTATGTTCTAGCATGCAGTGTAAAAATGAAGGATTTATTTGAAAAAAAAATGTTTATAATGTAGTTTAATAGATAATTTATTTTTTCCCATGACAAATGCTCGTTTCAATTAATTTGGAGGAAGTTGGAGTTAAACCTTGCAGTCATTTAATTTATGTGCATAATCACATCCAAATTGTTTCAATTTTATGTTAACTGGTTTATGGCTGGCTTTTTGACGTGAAAAGGCAGCAGATCCTAAAATGCGTGCATAAACTTACATCAAAGATAAAAATACATTTGTTCAAGTTTTCTTTTAACATCAGATAATGAAGGCAAGAGTGTAGAAAAGATCTTGAAAGAACAATAAGGCACAAAAATAAGGGCAAATAAGATGTAAAGGCCAATGTGCAAGAGTAAACCCAGATTGCTTTTCATACAGTAATTGAGCTTTTTCTTGCAAAAAAAAAGAAGACATGGCAATTTCTGCCAGGGAGTTTTTGGTGCTTCTTCACACTCATCAGTAAAAATGATGACCCTTCATGTTAAGTTTTTCACCTACACCTGCATATAAGCATTTCTTTAATACCAGGCCCAACAATTCCATGGAAAACCAAGAGAAAGTAGTTTATCTGTTCCTGGTGTTATTCATGTCTTTTCAGCTTCTTCTAGGTGATTTTTATGTTGTCCTCACCTCTTTGTAGCTCTGTGTAGTAAATTTTGGTTCTCTCATCCCCATGTCCACTGCAATATTCTTTTTAAACATGTTCTGTCTCTTGCAGCTGTAGGATTCACTTGCCAAGAGTCATCCCAAAGGGTGTCTTTCCAAAAGAATAATTTCTTTTGGTCAGAGAATAGTTTTTTATGTCTATCCAGAATGTGGATCCATGTTCTGAGCGCGGCATGAGGGGCAGGGCAAGGAGATAGGTCTGGTTTCTTGCAAGTTCTTTGTTTTTCTGTTCTGCTCCAGCTGCCTCACAGAGGAGGTGGTGGAGCGTTGCCTCATTGTATTTAAGGCTCAGTGGTCAGAAATTTGGGCTGGGGATGTTTGCATTCCCTGGGTTGTTCCTGCAAGGCCTCACACTGCGTGTTTACAGTGACCTGCTGCTGCCTCACAGCTTGCTGGCAAGGTTTTTCACACATTTGGTTTGTGGAGAGCCTCAGTGCCCAAGGCAGCACTAACTAGGAAGGAATCTTCAAAGATACAAGCGATTCACGTCAAGTTACAAGACTAATGGAAAGCTGTGATGTATTATTTAAACTCAGTCTTTCCATAACACATAAATAGGCAACAACGCTCTGTGTTAATGCCTTGCTTCATCAAATGTTTAAAAATTATTATTGTCTCTGTTGATTTCTAATGAAGATCATTTTAATGTACATCTGAAAAGCAGCTTGTTAGAAATAGTTGAGAATGAAAACTAAGGGCTATAAAAATAAGCAGTTAGTGGCTGGGATCCCGTATAATCAAAATTTTTTATTTTTTTGATCTTTGTATGGTTTTCCTTTTTCTTGGACACACTAAATGTAAAGATGACCAATGTGCTCCATCATCTTTAACTGAGAAAAACCCAGAAGTTGCAAGTGTTTTACCTAAATACCTTATTACTCCAGAACATTTTCAGTCATTCAGAACCACAGTGATTCATATGTAGCCCCATTAAACTTCTTTTTAACATCCGCTTTGTCTTTTTCCTTTTGATAACTTTACATCCATTTGTATAGCAATCAATCAGATTTCCAGTTTCTCTGGAAATGTTGGTACAAAGAAAAATCTCATCCTGGTCACATTTTCTAAGTTTTATTGTTGTTTAAAGTGGAAGGAAATTATTACAGTGCATGTATTTTTGAAAATTAGGGGTAGTTTATGATTAATATGATGACAGCAAATTGTTGCTGGTCACAGGTTTTTCCTCTTGAGCGTATTATATTCTGTCATTGATAATGCTGGATATCAAAGTCATTTCAGTTTTTTCTTAGATGTTTCAAACAAAAGGTCTCTTTCAAAGCAAGACTTACCTTAGAAACATGTTTGCGAATCATAAAAAAGAAAAGAAAATAAGTGCACCCATTTGGCACTTAGAAAAAAGGTTGCAGTGATTCGTGAGGTTTGTATGTCATGCTTTACTTCAGTCACTGTCACTGTTTGTTTATTCTTCAGTTGAACTGTGCAATCATTTGGAAAAGTTGATACTAAAATATCAGTGTGCCGCAAATCTTATTTCATCCATGCTGTTGCAAAAGAGCATTTCTTTGGATGCCTGCTGGAGTTCCCCTCTTTTTTCTTGGTGTGAGGGTTTGCTGCAGAGAGTCACGGGATGGCTGAGGTTGGAAGGGACCTGTGGAAGTCATCCCATCCAAGTTTCAGGCAGGGCCAACCAGAGCCTCTTGCCCAGGACCATGGTCAGATGGGTTCCCAACTTGGATCATACTTTGGCTCTTTTTTCATTAAATTGGGACCATTTCCTCAGGAGTATTTGAGTACTACTAACACAATTTTAGTTGGAATCTTCAAGCTTAGGGGAAATAGAAGAGACTGAAGTAAAATATATTTTTAATAGATGCCACCAAATACACTGGTGTTTATTGTGCTTTTAAGAGGTACTTGAGACATGAAAGAACTGGGTTAGGACTGTTTTAGAGTATTTTAAAGAACATTTTTCCTAGTGGCAGGAGTTGTAATTGTTTGTTTTATTCCCTTCTCTGACAGCTCACTGTGCTGATAAATGTGTCCATGGCCGTTGCATTGCTCCCAACACCTGTCAGTGTGAGCCTGGCTGGGGAGGACCCAACTGCTCCAGTGGTGAGTTTTCACCTGCTTCTGCCTGTCTTCTACTCTTTCCATGGTGTTGTCCTCTCTTTTGGACAGATAATCATCAGTTCTGTGCTTGGGCTTCTGCTCTCTGATCAGGGCTTTTTTCTGAGTTATCAGGTTACTCTGTGTAACCTGATTTTTCTTCATTTACTTGCAAACACTGTTCCCACGTAGCAGCACTAATGAGCTTTTTTTCTTTTTTTGGCTTCTTTGTGCTCAGAGACATGCAGATTGCACAGTATCTGGAGTAAAGACATAGTTTTATTTTACATGTAAGAAAATCTCACAGTTTTTATTTTACTAATGTGTGAAGTTTGATGGTGCCAGTTCACATTTAAAAGCTATGAGGAAAGCCTTCCTAGCAACTCTGTCCTCCTTTTTCACTCTGACACTGACTCAACCATTTTTCCCTTCACTCTTCACTCCCTGAACTCTCAATGTCTTTCCATTGTACTCTGGTCAAAATTCTCCTACTTCCTTCTACATTCCATTTGCATGAGCAGGAGATGAGGAGAGGAGAATTGTGCAAAACACAAATCATTATATTTTCTTCCCTTTTGTTGAAATACAGTTTCTCAGAGTAATTTTCCAATTAATTATAAATCTTTATTTATTCCAGCCTTATGGCTATCTTTTTAAGATCTTTAAAAATGTATTTTTGAGGCTAACATAAAACCACATATTTTTTTACAGTCAAGTTCAAGGTGGGTCTCTGCTAGTGATTGTGCAGTTGAAAGAAACGTATTTTTAATCAACAATAAAAACAACTGTATTTACAAGTTAAAGTCCACAGACCTTGTAAATCTCTTAACAAATAAATTGCAAAGATGCTACACTGCTAATTTACTTAGTACGTGATTCCTATAAAATTAACAACTCCCATTATCTTTCTTTTTAAAAAAGGGAAATGTTCTTCAGTTTTCAAACATGTTGCTATCATAATTCATCTGGAACTGATCTGTTTTTCCAGCAGCATATTTGTTGGCATGAGGAAGAATTTAACTATTTTAAAATTAACTACTACATTTGTTGTGTAGTTTTTGTGTATGCTTACATGGGATTCATGTATAGCTCCAAAGAAACACCCAAGTTTTGCATAAGGCTTCAAACTGAAAGAGCCATTGTTCTTTCACAACAGAGTGTTGCTGTAAGACTGGTCTTAATCTAATGTACTGAATTGTCAAAATAAATTGTCAAAACATGCTATCTTTCTTTCTGAAAACCTTATGCATTAAGCTCTTCTGTAACTAATCAAACATGCAGAAGAAATGTGAATCATTAGACAGCACAGATTGCAAAAATACTGTTATTTACTGAGATTTTCAAGCCTGAAAGTGTGCTTTAGATGAGATAGGAACATCTAAATCTGTCTTTGGAAGTAACCCTTCCTCTCACAGGATTTCTGTCTGGTATAATTCACTCTGGGTACACCTCCAGCTCTATTCCTCTGCTTCTTCCTCAGCTGGTTGCCTTTTGTGTACCTTTGAACAGTGACCTCTGGAGAGGCTGGTGATCCCCTGAAGGATCCTGGGTGACCTTAGGGCTACCTGGAACTGCCAAAATTTGTTAGGGATTACTGGTGTAGCCATAGGAGAAGGGGGTAGGCTGAGGAAGGGAATATTTCTGTGCATGTGCTACAGGAGCATTTGTTCTGGGATTTATCCCCTTCTGCATGGACAAACCTAAGAAAGTTGCTGATTTCACTCTGAGAAATTGTCCTTCTGAGCTTGAGAGCTGACATTTGCTGCTATCTGTCCATGATTTCCTTATCTGAAGAGCAACAGCACAGGTCAAACTGAATTGAGGAATAATGGATAGTGCTGGAAATAACAGAAAGCGAGAGGAGCTTGGCTTTCTGAGCTTTCTTGTTGCTTGCCCTATGTAAAAGTTTTTGATTTCTGTCCTCAGTTGTATTTTCTGCATGATCCCCAGCTTGGTTTTAGTTTTAGTCACAGAAAGCTACAATGATACAAAGTAAAGATCTGTGCTTTTTTTAATAACTTTTTAATACAGCAAGTTATTAATTCAGTAGGAATATATGCATGTTGCCCTACTGTAATAATGTCCATCAAGTAATCATTTTCATTACTTAACTGAATGGTGGAACCATATTTGAAAGACAGGCCATTGTCTTTGTAAGGCAAAGGTTCAGGGATTTTATGGCTTCTGATGACCAGATAAAATGCCCTGTCTCAAAAGAAGATATTATCCTCAAAGTGTGAGGTATTAGGCCAACTTCCAGATGTAGTCATCTGTTCATTTTCATGGATTCACACATATGGGAAGGAACTGTTCTACCTCGGGACCAAACATTTTGTAAATCTGCAAAACTAAACATTTTCTTCCAAATTGCTGTCCTATCTCTATTGGAATTGTTTATTCTCTTTACAAAGGAATTTTATCTGCACGTATCTGAGAACAGATTTACTGCTGTTACAGCGTCTGCCAACCCCCAAACTGATTGTTATCTGTTGTTTCTCAGGAGGGAATAAATTTTTTGGGTGACTCCCATTTGCTTTTGTAGCAAATATTACCTCCTTATTGCTGTGACTCCTTGCCAATTCCTGAATGGTTTAGGCTAGTGGCTGCTCTCAGTTTAGGGAGAGGAGGCCTAAGGTTTGGCCAGAGTGCTGAGCCTGTCTTTTTTCAGTGCTCAATTCTAACCCAGACTATAACTCTGCTCCTCACCACATCCTCTGCCTTTCTGAAAAATTTACATCCCAGCTGAGTGGGACACAGGATTGGATCTATTCTTCAGCAAGGAAAACCTGAGTTGTGGCCTAGGAGTTTTGTTTTAATTAAATAATGTTTCCTTGGGAAACATTTCCTGCACAAGGTGTAATTTTTCTTCAGGTATTTTCTTTTTATTTAAAGAAAATAGAGTGTATTAGGCAGTGTTTGCTTGCACTGAAAGTCAGTGTGAGGTGGGTCAAGAAAGTGGTGATGATAATGTGGATATATCTGAGAGAAACACCACTTGCATTAAGAGATCACTCCTTTGCAGAACATTACATTCTGGTGGGAGAGATGACAGGCATGCAAAACAATTTATTCTAATACAGATTTATTGACTGAACACATTAGTCAGGACAAGGGAGTGGACAGAAGATGTGTTGAGTGAGGGAGGCAAGTCAATCAGCACAATCCATAAGTTATCAGCTCCCCTTTGAAGAAATACTTGTGAATTCCAGGCATATATGTTGGTCATTTCTGGGCTAGGGACAAGTGCAGTACTTACAAAAGTGCACAGAGTGCTAAATGCAGGTTAAACAAATAGGTTTTTTTGAAGAACAAACAAACTGACACAACATTTCCCTCCCAAACTAAATTACTGTTTTCTCAAATTTTTAACTGGCATGTGTCTGATTGGGTTGTTTTTAAGAATGCTTTTGAGTACAGGTTGAGAATAGAATAGTCTTCTGTAGAAGTTGTGCTAATAGTTGAATTATGTGCTAATGTCCGTGTAGATGTGGAGATGATCAAACCCTATTGTACATTTGTAATTTATGTTTTCTGCTCACACTCCTACAACACTACCTCTATTTATAAATGTTATTTATTTATATTTTATATGGTAGTATTTATACTGTTATCTGTATTATAATGGATAATACATGAACCTGATTGGCACTTTTGGGTGAGTGTGAAGTTCAGATTAATTTCCGTTATATCTATTTATAAATTTTATTTATTTATATTATTTATATATATATATATATATATATATGCTATTATTTATATTATTATCTATATTATAATGGGTAATACATGGACCTGATTGTCAGTTTTGAGTGGGCGTGCAGTTCAGTGGGTGTCCTGTCCACAACCAGGACATCCACTTTGTTTTTCTTCTCATGCCTAGCAGTCTGCAGATAATTCCTTCAAAATCAATAGGACACTTTCTGGATAAGCTGGAGCAGAGGCAAAAATCAATATTACACTGACTAGTCTGAAATGGTTATAGCCTTGTGATCCCCCCCAGCTGGCATGAGTGGTAAAGCAAAAAAGGGAGTGACATGTCTTTGGTTTGTGACAATGGGAGTGGGATTCTTAAATATTTATTGTGCTGAAGTAATCTTGATATTTGTTTGAATCACTGTCTTTTAATTTGTAATTTGATTCTGTTGGTGATTAGCAGAGCTTTATTGGGACTATAGTCTGAAGTCATGGGAGTAGAAAAAGTGGCATGAAGACATAATTTGTCTCCAGGGTTTTGTGAAGCATGAGAAGAAAATAGGATTTTTCCTTAATACATTAAGCTGCAGGCCTAAGGCTTGCACCTCAGAGAAACCCTTACCTTTAAATGGGTATTATTAAGGTAACTTTTAAACCACAGTAGCTCTGCTACTATCAGGTTTCCTTCACAGCCGTGGGTGTTTTGTAAAGTTCGCAAATTCCGTGCAAATCTCGCTGTTTTCTTCATGGGACTTGGCAGAGGCAGGCCATGGCAGAAACTGGATCCCTTGGCACTGCTGTGTGTGAGACACTCACGTGAGCCACGGGCAGTGCCAGTTTCCCAGTGCAGCCCTGGATTTCCTTTAACCCTGCAGAGGTGGGTGTGTGACTTTTCCAAGTGAGACGGCCCCCGTGGAACCTGCCTGGAGCCACCTTCCACACTTTGATGGCACAGAGTCCTCCTAAACTGAGATTTTTCTGGGCCAGGGCATTGCTTTCCCTTTTTATTTTTCTTTATTTTTCCTTTTTCTTTTTTTTCTTTTTTTTTTTTTTTGACTAATGCAGCTTGCAAGATACGCTTAGGGAGTTAGCTCATCCCTGAGTTTTCCAGGCCATCCAGCAGGCTGCAGAAATAAGTTCTGGTTTTTAACCACATCCTTGCATTAGGAAGGCTTGGTTCCCAGAACTGGGGAGCTGGTAAACACACAGGCAAAACTGCAGAGTGTCCTGGCAGGCAGCTATTTTACTTTTATGGAAAATGTAGAGAAATAGCTTGTTCAAGTAATGCAGAACTGCCCCCCAGCCCAGCTCCC